GTCCTTCACTGTGTTTAATCTTCTCTTCATGAACAATAAATCCTGTAAATGTGGTAATATTTACTCAATATTTGTCAGAGTTATTAGGAGGGAGCCAATTATTTAACCCACCTGAAATAATCTGTCCTGCCCCTACAAAGAATATGTTATTTCAGACAGCTAAAATATATGGTTCCCTCCTCATAATTTTGGCAAAAATTGAGCAAATGATTTCAAACTTACAGGTTTTATTGTTAATGATGAAAGGAATAAACACAGTTAAAGACTTGCTGGTAAATGAATTTGTTCACAAGTTATACAGGGGGAACAGATTATTTCCGGCAGCTAAAATTATGGTTCCCCCCTCATAACTCTGGCAAAAGTTGAGCAAATGTTTTCAAACTTGCAGGATTTACTGTTGATGAAGAGAGGAATAAACACAGTTAAAGACTTGGTAGTAAATTAATTTGTTCCCATGTTATGAAGGGGAACAGACATTTTCATCCAGCTAAATATTTGGTTCCCCCCTCATAACTTTGTCAAATAACGAGCAAAGTTTTCAAACTTACAAGACTTATTGTTAATGATGAAAGGAATAAACACAGTTAAAGACTTGCTGGTAAATTAATTTGTTCCTATGAAATGGAGAGGGAACGAATTATTTCAGGCAGCTAAATATATGGTTTCCCCCCTAATAACTCTGGCAAAAAAAATGAGCTGTTATAAAAATCACAGGATTTGTTGTTGATGATGAGAGGAATAAACACAACTGCAGAGTTTGTGAAAAAATAATTAACTATAAATTTCTCTTATCCAGTAATCTGTCATATTTAACATTAGAAGGGTATATTCCAGAAAGCCCACTCTCATCTTTTCAGGAAGTCTAATCTGTGTGCCCTGCTGCCAGCCAGCTTCCCTCCTATTATATTAGCAATGAAAAATTATAAATACATACAATGTGTTGAAAAACTGTTTGTTTACTTTTTTGTCAGGCTTGAGTGACAAAAGTAGGAACAAAACAGATTCTTTTGGCCATTAAAAACAACACAAAACAGTGTAAGAAGACCTCCACACAAGACCTTGTTTATTTAATTATTTTACAAATTTCTTATTGCTTCTTTTTTAAACAGAAGCTGCCCATTAAAATGAAAGTTACAACCTTGACATGGTTTTATGAGTTGTTTTACTGAGCAATCAATCAGAAGTGCAGTGAAATGAACGGATCCGCCTCTCTGGCTTCAATGAGGGTTCCCGAGTCCAGACCTTCAGAGGCCTCCACTAAAGCCTGAATTGTAACAGCAACCATAGCTCTATTACAATTTTTAGTAACTAAAGGTCCCAAAAAAGAAAAAAAAGAAAAAAAATGCATTCCTTCCTGGGTGATAAAAATAATTTTATTGCATAGATGAGTTTTATTGTTTTGGTTATAAAAAAAATTAAGATGATGATTAAAAAGAAATGCTATACTTATTCTTTTGTATTTTTCTTGAGCTACTTAAATTTTCACATTTAGTAATTTATGGATGCATGAACACCTGAAAACATTTACTCTTCTTGGCTGCACAAAGAAAGCCGTTCAGAAAACATGGGTGTGAAAAAGATGGAAGGTTTTGTATGAATATGTGTTTTTGTATTCTGCAGGCTCGCGGGAAGTTATCCCAGATTCAGGACTGTCAGCAGGAGATGTCTAAAGGAATAGAGCAGTTCAGCAGCACCTTAAATGGTACCAATGGAGGCAGTATGACAAATCTGGCCGACATGAGCGAAGGCTTCAATGACAAAGAGAGCGGAGGCTTTTCAGCTGCCGGGAAGGGAAGACAGGTCAGGAAATGTATACATTCCATTATAGATCACATGTTCCTATTTTAATAAAATTATGTATTACAAAAATTTAGGATGTAATAATTTTCTACTAGGATTCCTTATTCTCTCAATCCTTTTCATCAGGTCTTTAACTCATGATGTGTTTTTAAATGTTGCAGAAAGGTTTTCATAGTTATACTTTTTTCATTCATCCATATTTCTGTGCACTGAGAAATATGGCTGTTGAAAATTGTTAAAATATTTTTTAAAGACTTGCAGGAACTTAGAGTCTTTCTTAATGTAATGTTGTGAAATGGATGACATAAATACACTGGTATAGTTTTGTTCCATGGCTTGTCTATCATTGGCATTTAAAAATACACTGTTGTATTCCAGGATTGAAGGCTTTTTTTATTGTCATACCAGCTCACTTTTGCTTGTTAGTGGTACGAAATTTGGACTCAGGTCCCACTTTAAGAAGCCTAATAAATAAATATAACTAAACAGGTCTGCACAGGAAAGCAGTTGGTAGCATAGTTGCCTTGCAGCAAGAAGGTCCTGGGTTTGAATCCCAGCCTAGAGTCTTTCTGCATGGAGTTTGCATGTTTTCCATGTGTCTACATGGGTTCTCTCCGCGTACTCTGGCTCTGGCTTCCTCCCTCAGTCCAAAACATGATTGCCAGGTTGATTGATCTCACTAAATTTAGGTGTGAATGGTGTGAGTGTGTGTGCATGATTGTCTTTTTGTTCTGTGATTCCCTCTGATGGACTGGTGACCAGGGTGTACTCTGCCTCTTGCCCGTTGGTACCCAGCTAGGTCTACCCTCAATTAATGTGTCGCCTCAAATATGGTTGTAAAATGACTATGATGCTCGATTCTGGTTTTTATATGTTGCCTTAGCCAATTAATCATGTAGTTAAAATAACACCTCTGTGACTCGTAACCCAAGTCGCTGAATTTTAACCTGGGCAAATTCCATGAATCTTTGGTGAAAAAGAGGACAGCGACCGTGAACAAGTGTGGTCCATAGGAGCTAATTTCATTCTGGCCACTTAAATTAGCCTATGGAATGAAGCGAGTTGTGTCACTCGGATAAAGGTTGTTAATCCCAGGTGAATCTCCTCATCTAAATCCAGCTAAAAGTTTCTTCATGAACTCTGTAGTGGGCTGCAGCTGAATGAGGTATTAACTCTCCTCTCTTTAGAGGCAAGAGGATACCTACGACAATGACATTGTGTCACCCGAACAGGTGAGGTGGGGCGTGCGACATGTGGCACCTGAAAAAATCCCTGGGTGGTCATGATCTAAAAATAGATTGTCTAGTCAAGTAGTGAACGGCAGAGAAGGGTTCACTAGTGTAGGTAATCTGAAAGAGTATGATTACCAGTGACTCCTGTTAAGAGACTGTTCACTGAATGGCAGAAAAGACTTTCTTGGTTTAGGTAATCTGAAAGGGAGTAAGGTTACTGGTGATTGACCTGGCAGGCCATAGTCACCACCCTCATAGCTACACAGTATGTAGGTGAGGAAAATTTAGGGAAAAGTACCTTCTAATGCTGGTGGATTCAATATCAGGATATGCAACAGTGAAGGCTGCTACAAAGACAGGCCCTCCCCTGAAGAGAAACTCCTTTCACGTCACAGAAAGCAGGGAGGCGAAGACACTTCTCCTTTTTGCCCAGACAAGGGAGGGGGAAAATGCAGCACAAAGTGTCATTCAAAGCACAGGTGTAAGGACTCACTAGAGCAGGGGTGGGCAATCCTGGTCCTCGAGGGCCGGTATCCTGCAACTCTTAGATGTGTCCCTGTTCCAACACACTTGAATCCAACAGCTGAATCTCCTCCTCAGTGCAGTCAAGTTCTTCAGAGTCCTGCTAACGACCTCATTATTTGACTCAGGTGTGTTGAAGTAAAGACGCATCTAAAAGTTGCAGGAGACCTGCCCTCGAGGCCTGGAGTTGCCCACCTCTGCACCAGAGGGACCCGGAAAATCAGCCACAACACTGGAGTGAGCAGAAACTCAGATGTTTATTAAAAGATAGCACAAACTGGGCACACTGGATCGTCAACTGCAGCACTGCAGGGGTGGGAGAAGGGCAGTGAGGAGAGATTGGTGACTTGAGAAATATTTCAGAAGGAAACTGCTAGTGTGTGTGGACAATTCACTAACTTGGTCTACCGGTCAAGTACTGAAACGATCGGCCGAGGGACGAAGAAGGGAGC